GCCCGCCAAGCCGCCGCCGCCTTGGGTCAGAGTCGCCTGGGGCCACGCGGCGGGCAGGAGGGACGCGGAAGGAGAAACCTGAGGCGCTGCGCTGGGGTGCGGGGTCGTGCGCGGCCTGAGGGGACCGAGTGTGACGACAAGGTGACCGGCTGAGAAGTCACACTCTGACAGGACCCTGGGAGACTGACAGCCTGACGGCGGGAGTCCTGGCTGAAGGGAACCCGGCTGAGGAGTCGTCGCACTGACAGGACCGTGTGACACACAAGGTGAGGGGGTCTCGGCCTGAGGGGACGGGATCTGACTGACAAAGTGGCCGGGTCCGAGCTGAGGGGACACGAGCTGAGAAGTCACACTCTGACAGGACTATGTGACTGACAGACAGCCTAGCCCGGGTCCGACCAGAGGGGACGCGCGGGTTGGAAAGTCAAACTCTGACAGGACCGTGAGTGTGACAAAGTGACAGAATCTTAACCAGGGGGGGGGGGGGACACGGCTAAAATGTCACACTCTGTGAGGACCAAATATGACAAACGAGGTGCCGAGAGTCTGGGTCTGAGAGGAACACCGGCTGAGGAAAAGTCACTAGAAGAGCGAGCGAGCGAGCGAGCATGATAGCCGGGCGGTGGGGGGCTGGAGCGGGGGGGGGGGGGGGGGGGGTCTCGGCTGGGGGCGGGTCTCACACCGAGGGGGCCGAGTGTGCTGACAGGGGTGACAGCCCCTCGGGCTGAGGGGCACGGGTGCGGCGTGGAGGGTCACAGCGGAGCCACCTCAGGCTCCCTGTGAGGGTGCGCCGGCATGCGCGAGCTGGGAGCGGGGTGGCTGCGCCGCCAGACCCTGACAGGAAAGCCTGGACTCGGCAGGGTCCAGAACTCCCTCGGGGAATGCGTTGTGCGGATCTCGGTGACAATTTTCAGAGTGGGGCTCAACTGCAGCAGCTCAGAGCCCGGAGGCGCTGGAGGGGGAGGGGTGTGCCGGTGATCAGCCTGGCGACTTGGCCCGCGGCCCCCGCCCGGAGCTGGCCCAGGTGTGGGGAAAGCAGGCTTCGCTGTCACGGAGGCCCCGCCCCGTCAGCGCCCACCTACAGTCCCACCGAGGGGGCGAGCACAGGGACAGGCTCGCCAGAGTCTGCAGTCCTCCTGGTGGGGGTGGAAGGTGGGTGTGTAGCTCCGGTGCTTTATGGCTTGGGATTGGGGAGGAGCCTAAGGTGAGGAGGCTGTAACTGGGAGTAGCCAGGGCTGCTTTTATATAAGGGACGCGGGGAGGTCAAGAAGGGGCCTGGACCTCTGCTGGGGATCAGAAGGCAGCAGCTCTAAATTCTTCTTAACTCCCATTGCTTAGGTGAGTGGCCCCACCGTCATCGCGTTTCGTTGGAGCGTGTTGTGAGGTGGCCAAACTGCCCCCAAGTTCGTACGTATCAGGATGGTTTTACTGTGTTCTTGTTGTACAGTAAGAAATCTGCTTCCCTTCTGAAGCTAACGGTAGGGAGAGTAGTGTCACTTACATCAGGAGTAAAAAAAAAAAAAGAGTTCAGTCTTCTGTCAAGACTAAGCTGAAGTTTTTTCTTCTTAGAAGGATGAAGGACAAAACTGTAAAATTAAATGATCATTTGAGGGAGAGAAAAAAAAAACAACGATGAACCAAGTTGTAGGATAGCTAACAGTTGGAAAGCCTCTTGATTTTGAAGTTCATTATTGTAATGTCAACTCTTTATTATCAGGCACGAAGCAAATTGTTAACCGTAGTTATTAAATGAGTAACTTAAGTCTTGGACTTGGGCAGATCTTCCACAGATACCAGGTATTCTGTAGAGTCTTCCTGTACATGCTGAGTGATCAATTACTGACTGAAACCATAACTCCGGGTGCTATATGATTTAGAAAACCTGGCTAGTGTAGGAACTGACATTTTCTATGGCTTCTCAAAGAGATAGCTCTCGAAAGTTTCATAGAAACACTCATAGATACTTAGAACATTTGGAGAGATGTTCCAAAAGATTCAGCTTCAACTTTAAAATAAGATCTCTGCTGTCTTTCTTCAACCAGATTTGCTCTAAAATTAAATACATCTGTAATATTTTAATATACGAAATTCGATATCAGTCTCATACATTAGCTCGAGTGATGAATATTATAAAGCCATCCGTTTTTATCTCATCGTGTGTTTTGTGTAAATTTGCTCCTTGTTATGTGTTATTTCTTAGTTAATTTGCTGAAATTTATATCTTCAATGAGAAGAACTAAGAAGCAACTGGTGGTCATCTCAATCTTTTGCAGCTCACTAGAAGAAAAAAAAGACAGTTTTATTTTTAAGAAAAAAAAGTTTTTTAAGTGTAAAAGTTTCGTATTCTTATCACTGCGGTAGGACGATGGCTGCAGTGAAGGCTAAAGTTCTGCAGAACTCCAGGCCAAAGAATTTTTAGATATCGGTCCCTCATTCTTTTATATTTTAAAAAAATATAAGTTCTTTAAAAAATAGAACTAAAATGTCCAGAAACTTCATATTTTTTATTGAATTTAAGACTACTTTAACACTTTGGTGATAACTATTTTTAATAATTAAATATAATATTTCCTCTAGAGGGACTGGTTTCCTTCATGTTCATGATGCTACATTTTTCAGAATCACTTTTATTTTTAAAAAATCCCAAATTACATTTAAAAAGTATTAATTTCAAAATCCCTTTGACATTTAAAATTCATATGTGAGAAGAACGTGTGACTTTAAATTTTTGATGTAGAAATGCATCACTGAGTATGTGACTGTTTTCAGTTAGTAAGTTTTACATATTTCAACAAATAATAGTTTTTTTTTACCTGTAACTCTCAGAAAATAAGGATATTTTGTCATCGGCCTTGTTACGATCCTCCTGTGCAGAGAAGCTATGTAAAGGCACCACTGTGAAAACATATATAAGTGTCAGTGATTCCATTTCCTTTTCAGATAATGAAGCAGTTGCTAATAGCAGAAGACATTCATAAAAATTTTGTTAAAATAATTTCCCCAGATGTTTCCATTTTTTCACAGCTTTCATAGGATCTGTAGCCTGGTGCATATGGCAGAACGTGTTGGTCATTCTAATTTGTGATCTTTTTGCTGGATTTATTGTCATTTGAACTTGGAAATATTCTCTGTGTCATAAAGTGAGACAAATATACTGGAAGAAATTTTTGCTTTCATAGGATTCCACTAAGTAAATATTAGTAGAAGATTTAAAAAATCAGTTAAGACAATTTGATTTAAGTCAATAGCATGTAATTTTAATCATATGCTCAGCCCACAAATTGTCAAGCTGAGTTTCTTTCTTGCCTTTCTTATTTTTGTGGCAAATTTCCATGTTATCTATTACTTAACTTTGCTTTCTTTCTTAATGCCTAAAAGCAGCGAAAAGAGCAGCAGGGTGATTGCCTACAAAGGTCATTAGAAACTGAACTAAGTTGACCAAAACCCAGTAAGATTGGTTAATATGTCTCACCACCACAGAGGCCTCATATATTATACATGAGTTAATTTCATGCATATGAGGTTTTTAAAATTAATTTTAATTTTTAAAAATCTTCCTGAGCTTTCTTTGTGCATTGCTGGTAGTGTTCTCACAATACAGAAGTAGATTTTGGAGAGTTATATAGTTTATGTTAAAAAAATAATATTCAATAGACTGACATATTGTCAATCTTATTTATCCAACATATTTAACTGCATTTAGGCGATCTTAAGCACAGTAGGCCGTATTTTGGGGAAATGTCTGATTCATTTTATGATGATATCCACCACTGGTGTAGCAGATCCTTAAATCATTGTCTTAAGACCTAGGTTTATGTGTTTTTACTATCTCGTTCAATTACACACACACACACACACACACACACACACACACACACACACACACACACGTCAGTATTTTAATCTCAAATATTCTGTTTAAGAGTATGAGTGTTTATTTCAATCATTGGGTTCTTTCAAACTTTCTGTACTTGGAAAGTTGGGAGTTTTAAAGTTATTAATCTTTGTTTTTGCTTGTTTGTTTTTGGTATGGCTTTAAGACTTTTATCAGCAAGCCTGGATCTCTTAAATGATAAGAGTTTGGCCCTGAATTTAACTGAGCTGTTATCCTAAAGACGGCCCACACGCCTGCCTATCTAGGTCAGCGCTAACTCGATCACAAATCTGACTAGTTTGCGCTCTTACTACTTCTGAGATAACTGTTAAGAAAGGCAATAATGCCTGTCATATCATAGCCAATTCAAAAAAAATGTATAGAAATAGTCTTGTTTTCAGCTGCCAAGTATATTGCCATCTCCTTGATGATTTTGGACAAAAACAAGCATAAAGTCTTTTATTCTGTCTTTGTGAGTCCTTCATAGACAAATAGTCTTTGTGCTAGCACTAAGTTCCCAGGGAGGCAGGCTTGTGTATTTATTTGATAAACCCTGCTCTTTATGGATTTTTATGGCACACTTGGAAAGAGTTGAATATATGTTATCCAGGGCAAGTTTATTTTGCCAAGCATAGTAGTATCCTTCAGCTCCAAACACAGTTTGCTACCAAAATCTAAAAAGCCAAATAATGCCTTGTGCTAGTCATTAAAAGTGTTTTCAATTGTTTGTTTTTGCAACAAACAATATCCGAAATTAGCTTTCTAAAAAGCTTGATAAGTTACTTATGCCTGCTAACAGGCCACTCACTCATTGGCAGGGAGCAACTGGACAAGCACATAAATGGCCATGCATTTGAAGCTCTCCGTGGATTAACTAATACATATTACTTTAAGAGGCTTTCATATGCAAGAAACGGACTTGGACTGGATTCGGCAGCATAGGCCGATCCCAATTAGTACCTTCGTGAACTGAACTGCGCTTGCTGAACGGACGAAGGAGGCTTGTGTGCTTCACTGGGAGTGCTAGAGAATTGCTGTGGGGCTTGAACTGCAAGCATGTATAGGATTGCTGTGGGGCTTGAATTGCACATTGCTAGGGAAAAAAAAAAAAAAAAAACCACCTCCCAAGACCTGGAATTACCAGGTAGTGACAGACCTGCAAGGTTAGGGCTATGGAGGCAGAGAACGGCTCAAGCTAATGGTTGTAAGTGGGGGGTGAGTGTCTTTGTGAATTTCTCCTTGGGAGTGGGAGCCCAGATTCTCATGAACTTCTACCCTCTTAATAGCAAGTACTGTTGGGGTCCCCTAAGAGTCTTGGCTCCCCTTTCAAGCACGCCAGTGACCAGGACAGTGACTGAGAAATCTTTTTTGATCGAGCAGAATGGATTTTACCCACTACACGGTTTCAGGCACAAAAGAAAAATACCATAGTTCCTTGAAACGTGCATTGGTTACAATAAATTTAAACCTTTCAGGCAGAATTTAAACTAGATAATAGAATGAGGCTTTGTTTTATTTAATCATTTATTTTCCTTATTTATTTAGATATTGAAAGTCAAACCCTGGTCTCCTCCCATGCAAAGTAGTACTCTGCTACAGTCATACCCCTCAGGCCCCACTTTTTTGTGCTGTATGTTTTGCTTTGAGATGCTGATAATTGAACTCATGGCCTTGCATATGTTAGGCAAGTGTTTTTACTCTCCAGCTATAGGTTTTATGTGGATGGTTGTTTTGCCTACATATATGTCTGTGTACCACTTGTGTGCCTGGTACCTGTAGAGGTTAGAAGAAGGTGTCTAATCCCTTGGAACTGGCATTATAGATAACTGTGAGCTCCGGTGTGGATACTGGGAATCAAACCTGGGTTCTCTAAAAGAGCAGCCAGTGCTCCTAACTGCTGAACCATCTCTCCGGTCCCACAATATTTTTAGAAAATAAGTTCAATTCTAGGTTTACTTTAAAAAACTTAATCTATGGACTTATCTAGAATTATAATATGGAGTTAAATGTATCTGACCCCTGGGAAGAGTTCATATTGGCATGGGCCTGGAGTGAGGAGTCCTTCTCCGTGTGCTGCAGATAAGGACAAGGGCAATATGAGGGAAGTGGAGAACAGGGGAATTCCCTAAGAAGGAGAGCGTAGGAGTAGAACATACAGATCCTGGTCTTCTCTGCACTCAGGCACAAGTTGGAGTGCTTACCATGCCCTAGAATGTAAGTTTAGGCTGAAAGAATCCCCCACTGCTCCATGGTGAATCTCAGGCTTCTAGAATCACTGAAATCTAAGGTTGCCTCTTGCTGTTTGTTACTCTTTCTGGCTCCCAAGTAACTTGTGGAGAGAATCTAGCTATTTTATCCTGTGTGTTTAAGCGATACATTCTCTTTTATAGTGAGGGCAATTGAGAAACATAGGCTGTGAGACTGAGTGCTGGGATGAAGTTCTGGAAAGAACTCCTTAACATTG